CTGCGGAAAAATAACGAATGCCATATTGGTATCGAAAATTATCTAAATCGAACAACTTTAGCATATAGCTCTCATACATCAATTTATTCAGATATGAGATTTTAGGTTAAGAATCTGTCAGAAAAGTATCTTACAGCTTCGAAATTGGTATTCTATACAGGTGCATACAAATGAAGATTTGAGACTAAAAATCATCGATTGGAAAGACTATAACATATAGCGCCCATTCAAACGATTTATTCTGATATGAGGTTTTGGGTTAAAAAATGAGCATCTAAATGAGCCCTAAAATTGTTATTCTGGTATGTAGAAATAAAGGATGTAAAGCATAAAGCATTTACCTTTCGCAATAAATATGTTATATTCATGAAAGGCATATAAACAGTGGGCTTGGCCGCAGGTAGCTCTTCTTTCCTTTTTTTATTTGTAACATTTTTTAACACTGCAGCTAATTCAATACATATAATCTGTGTACAATGTAGCATTATTTCATAACTTACATAAATTATATGTGGAAATCCACTTGAAATCGCACTTCTTTCGCCAGTTATTAAAGTAAATGTAATTATACCAACCTTGATACTGCCACTCTTTTATGGATATGACTTGGGAGTAGCAAGTGTTATTAACGCATCAATTCATATATAATGTGTGTTTGTGTGTGGCTTATAATTATTTCAATACTTTGATCGATGATTGTACAATACAATAAATTGTTACCTTTGCAGAGCAATTTGCCAACGCCAGCTAACAGCTGCCAGCTGAGCTTTTGCAAAGGGGCGTGAAAGTGTGGTTACAGTAGAAGCAAACTAAAAACTTAAGAAAATGCATAATTATTTATGAAAAAAAAAAACGCAAATTCACAAATTTGATGTACACAGTGTGTCCCAAAAATAGTCGAACTTTTTGTATATAAAATAAAATAGACATTATATTATCTTTGAAAGTTATTATTTATTCAAAATAAATATATAAAATAATAAATATATTTTATTCAAATAAATTTGACTCAACACGACGTTCGGAACGATCAACCAGCGCATGTATAGATTTTTTATGTCATTTATAGAAATGTTCTTCAGTGCCTCGGTTACAGCTGCTTGAATGGCTGGGATATCATCATAAAATGCTCCCTTCATCTTGGTTTTCAGTTTTTGAAATAAAAAATAGTCACATGGTGATAGATCACGCGAATACAGAGGATGGTCGATGAGAGAAATCCCTTTTTTCATTGAAAATTTGGGCGATTTTTTGGTCGTCATTTAATTCATGTGGAACAAATCGCGCACAGGCCTTTCTTTTCCCCAAATCTTCAGTTGAGATTCTCCAAATAGTGTTTTTACTCGTATTCAATTCCTCAGTCAACATTCTCGGAGTAAAATTTGCATCGATACGAATGATTTCACGGACTTTTTCCAACGGATCAGCACGATTACTAGTTTCTGTACGTCCTGCTTTAGGGTCGCCATTTAAATCCGCACGACCATTTTTAAATCGTGTAAACCACGATAAACTAGCGTACGACTCATACAATCATCACAATAAACTTTTTTCATTAATTTTTTTTTCAAGTTTGACACAAAATTTTATATTTGCTCTTTGTTCCATTTTATTTTTGAACCATTAGCACACTTTTGGTTCTATTGAAATGGCTGTCACTTTTACATCTGTCATCCGACTTACATTAAGTTAGGTGCGTTTGAAAGAGGATGAATGTATCTTTTTAATGCTGCAAATTTTCAATAGATGGCGCTCTTTGTTGTATGATTTAAATATAAAGTTCGATTATTTTTAGGACACACCGTGTATGTATGCACATATGGATATCTGTTACTCGATATTGCAGAAGTACATAAATTACTACGATTTAATTGAATGCCTCAAATTGATTCACGCTACACTTACTTGGTTAATGCAATTGTTGCTATAACAATACAATTCATATTCATTTATAAATATGTATGTATGCATGTAAGTATCGTTAAAATAATAATAAAGTAATAAATGATTGCTTTGTACATAGTTAAATTGCACGCGCAGATCTACACACGTACATATATTTATTATATGATTTTTGTTTGTTTGTTTGCGCATTGCTGAGCTCGAGCTCGAGCTCGTTTATTCTTTATGGAAGTATCTATTACTTAAAATTTTACTGCATTTAAAGTGCTAATTATTATTGTACACTAAGTGAGTGAGTCTTTAACATTTAAAGCAAGCAAACGAACATACATACATACACATAAACACATAAGCCAATCAATATATGTTAGTCAATTGTTATTTATTAAATGAAAGAGTAGCGCATTTGCAGCGCCATCATTAGAGTTTTACTATTTGTTGGCGTTTCTGGTTGCATGCCACCAAACAGATAATTTATCTAAAAATGTATACAAACACATACGCACGTATGTATGTACATGCTTGTATGTATGTAAGTATTTTATTTACAAATGGTTCAATTATTCAACCGATCATTTTATGTTTTGCCTTGGTTCTGTGTCATTGCAATCCACTTTGAGCCACACAAAATGTTGCACCACCTACTTAGTTGCAACATACAGAAAAGCACACACGTCTGCACACATATCGACATGCTCTAATCCAACACATACCTGCCTGTGGGATTTTTATCGCGAAATCGCAAAGTGTGCCCGCTGACGTTGTCGCGTGATTGAAGGTGTTTGTTGCTTGTTTAAAAATAAAAGTAAAATTTTGCAATTGAAATGCGCGAGAAAAGCCGAATATTTCTGCAAATGTTGTCAATCTGGTTATGTGTATTTGAACGCTGTTGTCATTTGTTTGCGCTGTCAATTATTCGTTTTTTATTTATTTTTTTTTCTTCTCTTTCCTACAGGTCAAACCAGAAGTGATTTCATGTCCATTGCGTTGTCAAAGTTATTTGTTTACATTTTATATTCACACATTTATTTTGAATAATTCATAAATCGAAATAAACAATATATAAATTTTTTTATTAAACTTTTTTTCATTTTATTTATTTTATTAATTTATTTTTTTAAGCAACTTAAGCATAGTAAAATATATATGTGCAACCTAATCAAACAGCACCTGCATCAAAGGCTCTCAGCTGTCTGTTGAATAACTCTCCGCCATGGGTCGCATTCCTTTAAAGATTCCTGAATATTTATCATATTTTCTTCTGTTCGATTATAAAGTACAATGACAGGATCTGTATTCAGACCAAGTAGATGAGCATGCGTCAATAGATTATGTCCAATTGTGAAAAGCCTGTGGTTTGATCCTGTCAGTGTTCACTTTTGTATATTGGTAAGTATAAGGAATACAATCAAATGCCGGCTTGGTGCGTCTCTTTTGATTGTTGAGCCGATTTATATCAGATTTGGTGAGGTAGCTGACCCCTAATGTGGACACGTTAATTGCTCCTTTGCCAATTTTTTCAGCATAGTCAAATCCCTTAATTACAGTGTGGCTAGGAGCTCCTATTCATTTAATATTATTTAATAGTAAATAAAATAATATGTAGTTGTGGTTATTACAATTTTTTATGGGTTGAAAGAATGATAGGCTGTGAGTATACAATGCAGTAACTTTGGCAATAAAAATGGAGTAGTTCATAGGAAATCCATTCCTTTCTCATTAACATCAGCACGTCTTTTGCTTTATTTTACTTTATATTCCTTTATTTTAATTTATTTTATATTAAAATATTAATTTATTTCTATTAATTTTATTTTAATTTATTTCATTTCAATTTATTTTATTTTATTTTATTTTATTTTATTTTATTTTATTTTATTTTATTTTATTTTATTTTATTTTATTTTATTTTATTATAATTTATTTATTTAGTTTTATTTCACTTTGTTTTGTTTTATGTTATATCTAAATTTTTTCGTTTAATCTTTCTCACTGTTTTTGTTGCATACTGGCCAATCACAGCCACCTACATAAATTTCATTGATTACATGTTGCATTTATTCTGGCTTACATTCCAATGCATAATCCAATTTGACGGTGCAGGCATTTGTTTTACTTATCTCAGATTTGTTGAGTTATTTTAATTGCTTACCAGAAAAATGGTGTGCTATAATTTAATGGCCATTACAAAGATTATATTTCCGTGAGAGTCATGGCACTCGTGACGTGTAAACTTATGCTAGAGATTGACTTTTAATGCAGAAAGACAACTATGCGTTTTCCAGTAGAATGGGTTATGGATTAGTATTAATTAATGTACCAGAATCCCAGTAATTTAACGTATCTTGCAAAGAAAGTTGGCTCGAAAACAAAAACCATAGTGTACTCGTACATAGCTTAGGTAAGCTCATCCTAATCCGCACTCGAGGCACATTATATCGGTAAACTTTGTTCGACTGCTGTTTCAAGAAATGATCCAGGCCTGGAAATATTCTATCGAGTGGATACACTGGTATGGAATGAAAGATTTGAAGTCGAATTTCTTGCCGTAGGTCGAGAGTCATGGATGGAGGTAAATAGTTAAGAATGCCGCACATGACTTGGCTGCCTAACTGCGAGATATAGTGCCTTTGAAACCTTTTATATAAGTGAGAATTTGTGAGATGTTTCGAAAGATTTTTATGGAAAAACTTTTAGATATTTTAACACAAAAACAACACAGCACAATTAATTTTAAATAAAACGAAAATAAATATTTTTTATATTTTATTACTTTTTATTGATTTTTTTCTGCTTCTTTATGCAATATTTTTATATGTACATATAAGATTAAGAATAAAAGGGAAAATAGAGAAAAGGAGGAAGAAGGAGATGGAAGATATAGTGAAAAGTGAAGGTAACAGTAAAGATTTTGCTAGATTAGCAAGCATGAAACAGGGATAGAATGCTCTAAAGGCTGGAAAACAGTTCTGTGGAAAGTTCTCAGAGTTGTTGTACGAAACCAGAATGAATGTCCTTTAAGTTTCGCTGTGGTCGGTAAAAAAAAAGGTCAACAGTATCAGTGTTGTTGTTATTATTATCGCAGTTGTTGTTCTTACTTGTTTTTGTTTTTTTTTTGCATGGCATAACGGCAAACATTTACGACTAAGTTCGCCCAAAACACCGTTAATACAAAGTGATATAAGTATGTAGTGATTATGATAAGTAAATAGCATGAAATACATAATAAGTATGTATGTGTGTACATTATATGTACATAGTATATTATTTAATGTAAAAAAAAAAATTAAACAAAGATATGCTATAAACAATATATGTGTTGCACATATGTTGTACGTATGTACATATGTATGCATGTGAATGTCGGCATCGTGCGTATCAGGGGTGTGTTGCGGATTGCGGTTTTGCGAAATATCGAGAGCGGAATACATGCGAAACGTCGACAAACGAAGTCACGATATCAATTATACGTATATACATATGTTTTTATGTACATACATATATATGTTTGTTGTACATAATAAGACAGTGCGGTGGCATCCTTCATTTGGCATCAGTGTCGTCAAAATGTTGTTGTTGTTGTTGTTAGCACACAAGTACCGCTGCTCGATTTGATGCAGAATACATGTGTGTTTGTGTGTGTAGGTATTGGGGTGTTTGGAGTGGTTGATGACATCGTTGATTGGTTGTTGCCTGCTTACCAGGTACCTGGTGCTGGTGCCACATTCAAAGAGGTAGCTGAGTTAATATGACCAGCTAATGGTGCTGTGTGCACAGCACCACGAGTCTTCGCTACATAAACACCTGCGCCATGACCATGACCCAAGGCGAGGGGAGCAGCCAATGGAGCGGCAATGGCAGCACCATGAGGTCCCTGGCTGAGTGAGATGCCGGGAATACCACCCCACAGACCGTGTCCGCTACCACCCCAAGCGGTAACAGCAGCTGGTCCAGCCCAAGCACCGTGTCCGCCCCAGCCGCCATGCGCCAGCAATGGCCCTGGATGCACGGCAGAGGTCACATACGATACGGCTGGGAGGATGGAGGAATGCACGCTAACGGCAAGGGCCAACATGACTACGGCAATAACGAACTGGAAGAGATAGAATGAATGATAGGAGCTATTAGTTTTGAAATTTTCGATTTCTGAGTAAAATTTTGAAAAAGAGAAGCAAAATAATCGAATGAATTTTTTGTGATTTGTTATAATAATAATTAAATAATAAATAAAAATTTCTTATTTTGCTATTAGGTAACGGTTTGCGAAATTATTTAGAAAAAATTCATGAAAAAATTCAAATATTTTTCTAAAAAAATTTTAATTTCTTTTAAATTTTTCATAAATTTTACACAAACTAATTTAATAAAAATTTAATTCCTGCAATTTTGTCTCACAGAATTTATTCACATAAAAAAGATTTTAATTGCATTTTTTAGCAAAAACTAATTTGCTATAGAAGTATAAATATTTTTATTGAATGCATTTTATATATTTTTTTCTCATTTTGTCAGTCATATTTTGAATGATATTTTTTTATAAATAATTATTTTACAAAAGTTGGTTTATTAAAAAATTTATTTCCAAAAACAAAAATAAAGTATTCAAAAATTTCTTAAACACTTATTAAACTAATTAAAAAAATTTTTATTCGTAGAGAAAGATTTATTAAATTTTTTTATATATCAAGCCCAGAAATATTGTAAAAAACAAATAAATAAAAGCATTTTTACTTAAAGAAGTTGCTTTAATTTTCTTTTTCAAATTTACCATATTTGAATCTTATATTTATAAAATTATTTTTATTATCAATTTTTTTACTTTGAATCAGAATAATTTTCTTCTCTTCACAAAATAATTTAAATCTAAAATTTTCCTCAAAATTAATTATTTCTTTTGAACTTTGTTTCCCATCAAATCTTCAAATTTGTAGGTTTTAGTTAAAAAAAAATTATAAAGTTTTAAAATTATTAACTTTTGAATTTAAAAATGCTGAAATTTTAAAGAATTGAAAAGTAATATAAATAAATGAATTACTGTAATATATGTATATAGTTGTACTCCAGAATTTTTTGATCCTTTTTTAATTTGATGCTTTTGAGTTTATTTAAATTTTTAATTTTTCTCACAAAAATTGTGTTTCAAAATTAATTTATTTTAATTTTTAATTTACATTAAATTTAAAGATAATAATTTATTGTATTTTTTATACAACTTAAAACTTTTATTATTCAAGAAGAAATTAAAAAAAAAACTTTAAACATTTTTTAAAATTTACTGTGTTTTAATACCGTTGATTTATGGAAACAAAAGCTCTCAATGCACTTCAAAATACTTCTTCACTTAGTTCTTCTTACCTTCATGTTTGCTGAGAAGGATATGAGAAGTTAAAGAAAAGGATGTGCTTTACTGCTACTAGACACTACTCAAGAAGTGTTGACTTGATTCTGATTTCGAATACAAAATTTTGCCAACTTTTATACTAAAAAATTCGTTGAACTTCATATGCAGCGGCAACAACAACAGCGGCTATTAAATAATTGCAGCAGCAATAAGTTCAATATGAGTTTGAATAAAATAAAACAGAAGAAAAGCAGTGAATTCTGTAACAAAACTACAAAATAAAAGGAAAAACAACAATAACTATAACAATAACAATTCAATAGCAGCGAAAAATCGCCGGCAATGGGCGCCGGGCTAAAACTTTAAATTGTAACGAAACTTGTCTGATTACATACATACACAAAAACAAACGGATAAATGCAAAAAGCTACAACAACAACAACAATTGCAATTGCAATAACAATAATAGCAGCAAACATTAGCAGATATGAGTTGGCCGCATAAATGCACACAGAACTGGAGTATCCAAGAGTAATAATATTTGGTGTTGGTGGATTTTACACGCCCGTTAGCCACCACCCTGCGCTAACCATCGTCATCACCTGTCCACATGCATACACACACACACACACACACACACACACACACACACACACAGATATACACATAATCCAACCAAATATAACCTTTCACAGCTGGCCGGCCACCAGCGCCACCGCCACAGCCACCAAAAGTGTTTTTGTTTATATGTGAATATGTATGTGAGTAGGTTTGTAAATTACAAACGTATTAAATTACCGAACCTCAAAAGCACTCAACTCAGTTTAACTCAATTGTGCAGGTATTTATCTTTATATGTATGTATGTTTGCATGTATGTATGTATGTATGTATGTATGTATGTAAGCTAAATCGCACTGCACTCCATAATCAATATGGAAATATCTCAATAGCCAAATGTTTGGATTATAACAAAGTACGTGCTTATGCACATACATCTGTAGATATGTATGTATATATGCACCGCACCGCGTTGCGCATGCACAACTTGAGCATATACTCGTGTATTTTAGGTATGTATGGATTAATTTGTGGCAGGAGTATAATACGTACATATGTATGTATATATCTTGTAAGCGGTAAAGTCGAAAAGAACGAAACCTAGGTAATGGTTTGTACCATTTGTGTGTATGTATATATGAGTGTGTATGTATGTATGTATGTATGTGGGGATGTGTGTGTATATGTATGTTTATATGTTTATATGTTTATATGTTTGGATGAAGGCCTTTACGTAGATATATATATGTATGTATATGAATATAAGTATTGTATATATATATATATATATATATATATATATATGTGTGTATGTATGTATGTACGAAGGGATGTATGTATTAAGGTTCGTAAGTTATACATAGATATGTAGGCATGTTTGTATGTATGTATGTATGTATGTATGTATGTGTGTAAGTATGTACGTAAGTATGCTTGTATGTTTGTTTGAATATATGTAAGCATGTACATTTGTACTTATTATGCATATAACCTCAGCTACTGAACAATCGCTCACCATACCAAAGGTACCAAAACATCGTCACTACACCCACTCTCCATTTCACTCTTCACCAACACCTCACAAGAGTCTTTATAATGCAAATACAATATATGTTGTAAAACAATATGCGATAATTAGTTTAAAAGAAGGAAAAAAAAATAAAATAAATAAGAGTATAGAATTTTTCACACAAAAAAGTGCTCGCTGCAAGTATAAAAGTATTACGTATGTATATACATACATATGTATATGTAACATATGCATGCAACTGTAGCAGAAATAATTAACTTAGAGCACTTAAATAAATAGTTTATTTTATTATGAGTTCGCATTGTTTTTTATAAATTTATGATGGCGTTTAAGTCTCAATTTGCATTGATTTTAGTAAATCCCAAGTGTTTTTTATGTGGAAAGTTATTATTTTATTATTTATGTTCATTGGTATGTGTGTTATGTACGGACGCAGAATCGTGTTAAAGAAGAGTTTTTTTCGTATGCCAATGCTAACACCCGCTCGATGACATTCCACTGCAATTGCATGTGGGAAAGCTAGCAACGCCCTCTCCATACATTTGAAATGGATTTGATTCAGAAATGTGACGTCAATCCATGTACCGCTGAGCTCCGGTTCGCCAAACTACTCTCTGTGGACAAATCAATTTTTATTTTTTTTTGAAGTCGTCAAAATAACACCTAACAGTTTGGTGTGGTTCTTAGCCTGGTGGTATCAGCAGTTTGTATTTCTTTCGAAATGAAGCTGGTAGCACCGTTACTGTCAATAGAGAGCGGCTTTTTATGGTCACAATTGGCGGCTGTGGCAGCCGCATGGTCAGCATTGACCAACACCGAAAAGTCATAGAAACTTCTGACATGAAAGTAAGGCTCCTCGTGGAAAAACCATCAGCCGTTCTAAGGTGGCTTACTGTAGGTCTCAATAGAAGAAGTTGATCTTATTGCGAGAGAGCTTTGGAGAATGGATTGTTTTAAGAAATTGTGACATTGAATAGCCTTCAATTTTTGTGTGGTTATTTGAAGTCATTTAACTTCATTCTCTTCAAGCTTTAAAAATCAATATTGAACGTGCTATTCTCGAAATACGACTTGATTTAGTGGAAAAAGTTCTCATAAATTTAGTTCATCGAATTCGTTCCGGCAAAAGAAGTTAACTCAGTAGTGTTTGAGCGCCCAGAACGCCCAGAGAAGGTGAAATATGCTATATTCCAAAACTTTTCTTCGAAAAAGGCGTAAAATCTAGAAAAAATGATATATACTATATACACAAAGAAACTCGATATATATATGTACGTGTGACACGCTCGAATCAAGAAGCAAAAAGGCCAATGAACCACATTTCCATATGCGGGTCTCTGCTGAGCAGTTGCTGACTGGTGTGGAAAGGTTGATCAAACGAAAACGGTCGTGGTCAAACCAGGATTGGCGGATATTAAGGATTTGTTGTGTGTTTGGTGGGATTGACACGGAATCATCCAGTGTGGATGATTGCCGACAGCCAAATAACCTTAGCTTGGATCCATATTGTCAGCAATTGGACCGTCTGAAGGAAACAATCGCTCAGAAGCACCCAGCAACAGGACAGCGCCAGACCACGCACATCGATAATGACTCGCCAGAGCTCAGCTGGGAGGCTATTACGCATGCATCTTATAGTCTTGACGTCGCACCAAGGGATTATCATCTGTCACTGTCTATGGCGAATCATTTGGCTTGCGAAGAATTGCCACACAGATTTCTATGTGAGAGTCATAATGACAATACTCACAAAATAGCAAGAAGTAATCGAGCAAAACGGTGCATATTGACCTACTCTAACTATGTCTTAATATGTTAAATAAAGCCTTCAACCTCATGTAAAAATAATGGATTACTTTTTACTAGGTTTAAGGCTTAAAATAAAATGCCAAAAACACCTCAGCCCAAGTATTAATAACGAAAAAAAGTATGAAATGCTATATAAAGTGACTTTATAAAAAGCTTTCAACCTTTTTTATTAAAAACCGGTTACTTTAACCAAAAAAAATATTTAATCATAAGCTGTTATAATGGAAAGCGGGAAAGTATTTGGGTTGTAGTTATTACTTTTTTCTAGTATTTCAACACTTTTTAATCCGAAAATGAACAGTTGTAAATTCTATAAATATTTGCAAACTACAAATACAAGTTTTGGTGTGGAATATATATGTAAATCCCAACTTTGCGTTTCCAAGTCTTTTAACGTTCTCTAAAATTAGTTTTATGTTTGTGCGAATGTATGTATTCATTTCAATGTATATTATTTATTTTATATGAAATCATAAATCTGCTATATATATATATATATATATATATTGGTTATACTGACGTGGGTTTCTAGGTTCATTAGTTGTTCACAAGTGCTTATTATTGTACAGATGAGTGGTCCTTGCCGCGATCTTTTTTGTTGAGCTGACAGGGTTCTTAGACCTGCTTACCAAGTACCCGGTGCTGGTGCCACATTTACAGATGTAGCCGAGTTCAGATGACCAGGCAAAGGCGCGGTGTGGATAGCACCACGAGTCTTCGCTACATAAACACCAGGACCAGTACCGAGTGGCGCAGCAAGTGAAGCAGCAATAGGTGACACAAGTGGTGCAGCAATGGGAGCCGCAATAGCAGCACCAAGTGGTCCTTGACTAAGTGAGATGCCGGGAATGCCACGCAATAAGCCGGATGCGATGCCACCCCAAGCAGTAACAGTAGCTGGTCCGCCCAATACGGTTGGTCCTGCCCAACCACCAAGTCCCAATAGAGATCCAGGTACGACAGGGTTTATGTATGAGACTCCTGGTGCAATTTGTGCGGCTAACAAGGAGGAGTGAGCGCCAACGGCCAAGGCCAACATGACTACGGCAATGACGAACTGCAAGAAAATTAAGATTTGTGGTAAGATTACTGGCTTAAGTGAATTAAAAAATATATTTATTAGTACAAATGATGAGTTGAAGCGAGAGACAATGAAATTCAATAGCGTTTCATATTTAATTATTTTTTCTTAGTTTTTTCGTTTTAGTATACATATCTTATGTATGGTTTATATATTTATATATATATATATGTAACTCCGTTTTAATTTTATATATTTTTTCCATATTTTGAACACTTTTTTTATTATTTTGTCACACTTTTTTTCACAAAATTTCTGTATTCACAATATTTGATCACTTAAAGGTAATCCTCAAAGTCCTTATATCCTTTATTACCTTCATGTTTGGTGCTTAAAGCGGAGAAGGATACGGAGTAGTGTAGAAAAGGATTTTTTGGTTATTTCACACTCAAGAAGTGTTGATTTGATTCTGATTTCGACTACGAAATTCTGCCAACTTTTATACTAAAAACTTCGTTGCACTTCACACGCAGCGTCGACGTCACTTGGAAATGGAATTGCATCAGCAATTTCAATATTAATAGAAATAATACGCAAACTCTGTGCCAAAATTAAAGCAACAACAAAAGAGAATTAAATAACAAAGAGTTTATGTAGAAGCAGCGGAAAAGCGGCAAGCGTCCAGTGGCGGGCGTCGACTAAACTCCAAATTGTAACAAAACTTGTTGTCTCTTTACATACCGAAAACAACAACAAACGCTAATGCATGCTCTCTATATATCAATGCACTTACTCATACAAAATTAGATTAAATATTTTGTGTTGTTGAATTCCATACAAGCAGTTGAGAGTGCTATTTTGACCTCAGCAGGAATTGTAACTGGACCAGAGTTCTCTTCCAAAGGACGTCTTTACAACCTCACAGTCACTCCATATGTAGACGTCCTCTAAATAAATCACTTCTCCAGCCAGCAGTACATGAGCCCTCTCTCCACCAAGTTAACAGTGACCTATGCCGTTTTATACTTAGGCAACCGATTCTCCATAGTGTTTAATTGATACAGAAAGTGGGCGTTTCAACCTTATTTAATTTACATTCATTTTGTTAGTTATAGAGTAAACGTGCGCAGCTCTTCACTCTTCATACAGTCTTTGCTGAAGTCTCCTTCTAAACTCTATGGGATATTCACAAAATATATAAGTTAGATTTTTGACAGGCACAACAATAGGCTTCAAGCAAGCTGACGCCGTGGGGGCGGATTGAGAAGAAATCATAAGCATACCTCAGATGTTCTTTGGCTTTTAGGGGCATAAAAATTTACTAAGAGTTGCTTTAGGGCTCATTTGGGGCTTAAGCATACCTAACCCTATTCAGTTCCTACGCATTGAGGCAACAATGATCGTACAGAAAATCGCCTTATCGAAAGAATAAACAATGAATAATAAAATGAAGAGTCTTGCTCTGTCGTCGAATACTCCTAAAAGCCGTAAGTTCCCCGAAATAGTCGGCTTTATGAATGGAACGACCGGGACTTTTATATGGGCAAGAACTGTCGCTCCCAAAACATTCTCCAAAAATCTCTTTGGGGCTTATTTTTTTTTAGTAACAAGAACAACAACAACAATTAATGATTAGAATCTTTCTAAGTAATTAATCGGAAAATATAACAAATTTTGAGTTCTAAAATTTCTCAGATCTTCGTCTTTGACTTGGCCGCGTCACTCACTTGCCGTCCTATCGACGCTGTGGCATCATATCATAAATGTTATGGCTCTCAATGTTAGGTTGTATTCAATGCCACACAGGCATAGTTGTAATATAGGCTGAAAGATAAAGAGAAAATATTTACATAAATATGGTCGAATGATTTAGCAAAGCAAAGCGAACTGATTTTGTTTAAAATATTAAATATTTTGTCGTTGCTCCTTTCGTTTTAAGCACCTTCTGACATTTTGGAGGCATGGAGTTTAGAAGTTTGGCACACAACTCCTTTAGATTGTTATAACAAGTTTTTTTCCCACCCCCAGGACCCCCCAAAAGAGCTGTTTGTGTTAGGATCCGGAGATTGTGTTGGCCACTATATAATATAACCATTTCCTGACGCATGTGAAGTGGGAAGTGCGAAGTCGGGGGGTCATTGGCGTGCATAAACTCACACTCTAGTGGCATCTCTTCTTCAGCGTTCAACGTTGTCTGAAGAATGTATAGATAGTCTAATACCACTTCTTTAGCTTTTGGTACAGCAGCAGACGATGAGAAGTAAACTTACACCTTAATAGAACCACTGAAATGCTTAACAGTCTTAACGGTTTATTTTGGTATGAAAGCTTGTCCTCTTGGACGTCCAATTAACAAGTTTAGCTTGGATTCATCCGGCCATACCACATACGTTATGGCAAACTTAATACTTTGTTGTGTTTTACTTCTCACATGGGCTAGTCGGAACCCAACTTCTGAAATGGTTGACGCACTCTATGACTTTCAATTCGAGAATTTAATTCCGTTTTTAATTCATTGGATCGTTTGCTGTGTCTAATTTATTTGGCATTGAGATTTAGCAATTTTTTTTTGTAAAAGTGTGTGAAGTGTCTTCATCTCCAGTTGTGTAATTTCAACAGGCAAGAATGATTTGTTCTTTCGGACCGTTCCAACTAGGGTTAGTTTTCGCTTCAATAGTTCAATCCCCAACTGATGAGATGTAAAGAAATTGTCGCACGTGACGTTGCTACCTTATAGATCGTTTATCAATATCGATCGTCTAGCATATTGGGCATTTCTGACCCATATATACGGTATGTGCAATTATTTTCGCCCAGCGCATCCAATAAAAAGTATAACAAAAACTTTAAGCTTTTTACATTAAGCTTTCAGTGTTAAATAAAAATAAAGAAAAAACGTTTCTTTCGGTTACATGAAAGCTGAAAAAAACATTGTTAAAGGTTATTTGGGCAATTTCGGTCCATACAGGATAAGTACTGAGATAAGTCGGTAGGTTTGCGTTTAAAAAGCTTTGTTCTGAATGACTGCCGCATCCAGCTACAGTTTAAACCACTGATCGTGGAGACCTGAAAGCTGGATGTTGTAATCCATGTACATCGTAGGCATCAGATAAGAAAGGGTTGTCCGAAAAGTGGACCTAGCACCGATCTATCCCACCAAAAAATATAGATCGCACTCATGCTTCCATTTTTTTGTAATTTTGGGATATCGATAATCCTTTGCCCAGACTTACTATAAGAGGAACTGCGACCTATCTACTCGAAATAATTGTATTGTTTGCACAACTCGCTTTATTATTCGAAACATTTTTTACGTAAAAACCCAATCAAAAACTTATTTTGAACCTTTATATAGACGAAGTCATGGGTAAAAGCTAGTTTAGGTATAAAGGGTTCATAGAATTTCTTAGCGCATAAGAAAGCTAAGAGGCTAAATGCTCTATTAACAGCTAAATTAAAATCTAATTTTAGTCCATGTAATTTTGCGGTCTGCGCTATTTTTATGTTTTACCTACAATTGAAGGGTTCCCAAGTTAAAATACGCTTGGGCAGGTTGATATTCGCTGGCTAGGAGCAGTCAAGCTATTAATTCATCACTCGTACATTTCCACCAAAAAAAAAAATATTCTTATCAAAGAAACCATAATTTTGTTATTCTTATTTCCAGTCTGAATAATGTTTTAAGAGACCAAACTTTATGACTCAGCTCAACATTTCCAAGATGACCCAGTCATACTCTGCAGTTCAAAATCAACAAAGATTTCTTCAACGTTAGTTTTTTTGTTAAGAATCTTACCTTTAGGAAATTATGCCTCATCGTTCATAATAATAATATCCAGAAAGTTTCGAAACCCTGGCCGTAAAAATATTCGAATACTCAATATCGAGATTCTCGCTTGAAAAATAAAAATCCAAAGGCTCTGAAGTAAAATTTCTGGTATCCCTCCCAAATCGGAAATTAATATAATTAAAATTGATTTCATAAAAAATCTTGCAAAATATTTATTTACATAAGTTCTGTTAGTTTTACAAATATAATACATACAAATTTAACACAATTTTTCATAAAACTAGAAAAAAAATAGAGGAGAGTAAAAGCAAGACTCCTAGAAAGTTATAAAAGGGAGCAACACAAAAGGTGGGAGAGCATCGTGGGGAATGTGTGGTCTGTGTCAATGAGTTCTCTAATCTATTGTACAACTGAATCTAAATGTGGTATTATAACTGTTGTTCTCATTGCCCTTTTGTGTCTTTAGTATCTACTGTATAATTAGCAAAATCTGCTAGTAATCATTTCTAAAAAGTGTGTACATACACACTTATAATATTTATTTAATGGAATGTGGTTGAGAAGCATGGAGTACAAAAAATTAAAGAGCGGAAAGGCATTGCTTCCATATCAGGTATTGTATGTATGTAATGTACTAGATAGCGTTGCTTAAAATTATTATTTTTTTTTGTAATTTTTTTTTTTTTATTTAAAGCGGTTTCCTGTGGCAATCATGGTGGTATGGGATAAAATAATGCTGTCAGACTGTTGTTTACCAAGTACCCGGAGCTGGTGCCACATTTACAGATGTAGCCGAATTCAGATATCCAGGCAAAGGAGCGGTGTGGATAGCACCACGAGTCTTCGCCACATAGACACCAGGACCAGTACCGAGTGGCGCAGCAAGTGAAGCAGCAATAGGTGACACGATTGGTGCAGCAATGGGAGCCGCAATAGCGGCACCGAGTGGTCCTTGGCTAAGTGAGATGTCGGGAATGCCACGCAATAAACCGGGTGCGATGCCACCCCAAGCGGTAACAGCGGCGGGTCCGGCCAGACCACCAAGTCCCAACAGAGATCCAGGTACGACCGGGTTTATGTATGAGACTCCTGGTGCAATTTGTGCGGCCAACAAGGAGGAGTGGACGCCAACGGCAAAGGCCAACATGACTACGGCAATGACGAACTGCAAGAAAATTTAAATTTATGGTAAGAATGTGAGGTTAAGTGAATTAAAAAATATATTTATTAGTACAAATGATGAGTTGAAACGAGAGACAATGAAATTCAATAGCGTTTCATATTTATTATAACTATTTTTTCTTAGTTTTTTCGTTTTAGTTTGCATATCTTATGTATGGTTTATATATTTATATATATATATATGTAACTCCGTTTGAATTTTATATATTTTTTCCAAATTTTTTAACACTTTTTTTATTATTTTGTCACAATTTTTTCACAAAATTTCTGTATTCACAATATTTGATCACTTAAAGGTAATCCTCATAGTCCTTATATCCTTTATTACCTTCATGTTTGGTGCTTTAAGCGGAGAAGGATACGGAGTAGTGATGAAGAGGATTTTTTGGTTATTTCACACTCAAGAAGTGTTGATTTGATTCTGATTTCGACTACGAAATTCTGTCAACTTTTATACTAAAAACTTCGTTGCACTTCACACGCAGCGGCGACGTCACTTGGAAATAGAATTGCATCAGCCATTTCAATATTAATAAAAGTAATGCACAAATTTTGCACCAAAATTAAAGCAACAACAAAAGAGAATTAAATAACAAAGAGTTTATGTAGAAGCAGCGGAAAAGCGGCAAGCGTCCAGTGGCGGGCGTCGGCTAAACTTCAAATTGCATTGAAACTTGTTGTCTTTTTACATACCGAAAACAACAACAAACGCTGTTGCATGCTCTCTCTATGTATCAATGCACTTACTCATACAAAATTAGATTAAATATTTCGTGTTGGTGGCCTTTGCAGTTCCACTAGCCATGCGTCCACATACCGGCAGTTGGGGGTAATCTGCTGAAATTGTAACTGTACTCTATTATTGGAATATGTCCATTTTGATGCACCTAGGTGGTCATTTAATCTTACCCTTCAACCCCAAAACATTTAATTATTTTCGGCTAGAATTAAGCTAAGGATCAGAGTTGTAGCCAGACTTTTTTTGTTACAGACAGTCACTTCCTAGACGTTATTTTGTCCATTTCCTCGTTTAAAATCGAAATTTAAACAAATGAAAATTTTTTCAACATTTTCACTTCTTTGGATATATCCAGATTGTGAATAGCGATATTTTCACTATTTTCAAAAAAAAGGTATGGTCTGAAAATATTTTTTTCTGAAGTTGGAGTCTCTAAATGAAATACGAGCTGAGATTAAAATTCATTCCAAAAGTATGAAAAATCTAGTCTTTTTGGAATTAAAAAGATTCTCCAATGCACAGATTTGATCACTCCGAGCTCAACTTATTTCTATTTCGGGTATACTTTATAGAAAAAATCAACATCCGCATCGCTTATCCACGGGCAAAATTTTTTTGTAAAAATAATGGAGGATATGCCCACATACATACATATATGTATTAGTCAGTAGTTCACACCAAATCGTATATAAGATATGTAGCATTGTAGCGTAATTGTTATTGTAAATTAATACAAAAGTTAATACAAAATAAAGGTAACTTGAACTATAAATCCCGTTGTAGTTATTATTTATATCTAATTGAATAATACTGAATAAGGGATATCCATTGTGCGGGCGTGAGGGTTGTAGTATTTATACAGTTTTTTTTTCTTCGAAATTTGGTATAAAAGAATGGAAATATTAGGTCAAGTAAAAAGTTCGTTCGGGTTTTACCTATGAGATGGCGTTATTGTCCATAGTACTAGTGTTATGTATCGCATCATGTCATACTACACGATGCTGAAACCGAGTTTATTCGCGCCAAAAGTTTGTCTTTGAAATTTTTTCCATTGATTGACTCAGTACGTTCTGAGCGCTCGTCAAAAATGGACACCAGCAAAGAGAAAATTCGCTATATTTTACAATTTTTCTTCGATCAAGGCGAAAAGCAGCCAAAGCGGCTGAAAAAATTAATTTAGTTTATGGGTCCGATACTGTAAACGAACGTGTAGCACAAAACTGGTGTGTAAGGTTCCGTTCCGTTAATTTCGAAGTCAAAGATGCACCAGATTTTGCTGTGTGTTTAGTGGGACTGACAAGGAATCATCTACTACGCGCTGCTCCCCTATGGCCAAGCGCTCAATTCGGCGCTCTACTGCCAACAACTGCACCGCCTGAAGGCAGCAGTCATCCAGAAGAGGCCACCTTTGATCAACAGAGGCCGAATTGTGTTCCATCAGGGCAACGCTAGGCCACACACGTTTTTGGTGATGCACCAGAAGCTCCAGAAACTCGGATGAGAGGACCTAATGCACCATCCTTATAGTGCGAACCTGGCACCAAGTGATTTTCATATTATCCTGTCCATGGCGAACGCGCTGGTGAGATGTTGGCCTGAAGAGATGCATGTGAAAATTGGCTCCCTGAGTTTTCTGCAAACAGAGACGCAGCCTTCTACGAGAGGGGTATAATGAAGTTGGCATCTCGTTGACAACAAGCTTACGAACGATACGGGGCATATTTGAGTTAAATCGAACAAACGTACTCAAAGTTATCATATTTTGAATAATCAATAAATAACCGAACGAACTTTTTACCTGACCAATATCTCAAAAATCGGGATATTTACGCGCAGTTACAAAAGGTTATATAATACTCTAGTCTTAAATTTTGTTGAAAAATCTAGGAAATTCTCTGTTGTCAAAACCACGAATCCATTTGCCCACAAGGACAATTTTTCGCAAACAAAAAGTTCGTTGGAGATCTCTTGCTCTAGACTTAAAAAAAAAAATGCCTCCCCCACAAAACAGAAACTGTTATTTATTTGAAACTAGGCGAGCATATATATTTCAGTATTTAATGACAAAGTTCTCAATCACGGTAAAATAATTCAAAAATACTTAAATTCGAATAAAAAACAAAAACTCTTAGAATCTAGTAAATTTTTTATTGACTTCCATTTTGTTAGATTTTCAAAAATAATTATTTAATACACTATATTATAAAACTAAAATACTGTTAGGAAGAGATTGAGAGGCCAGAACTTGAACCAAGTAACTTAGTTAGGTGGTGTGATGCGTACTGTCTGGCCCTAAATTTAAATAAGTAAAAATATATGTATTTCGCCATATATGTATCCTTTGCCCATATGATACATACTTACAATGTCGAAAAATTACTGACCTCAGCGATTGGGTGGAAGACGCAAGTGTCACCTTCCGCGATCAGTCTCGGGTACAAGGCAGTCCGTATTGTCGCTGCTTTTCGGTCACTGGTCTGTTGGATTTTTCAATTATCCTTAACATGGTAACACTGGATTCATCGACAAAAAAAAGCATGTGCAACAATTCTTAAGAGACACCGTAAAAGTAGTAAAAAGGAGCAATTCAAAAGGGAGCGTAGTATAGCTAAGAAGGTCAGTAGTCTTTGGCTGCGAGTTTCCAAAATTATCATAAAAGACTAAAAATTAAAGTAGAATCTAGAAGTTGGTATTATGAAAGCTTTAGCTAAGCTGTTGATGCTTCGTTCCTTCAGTATAACCGTTGACAATAAAATTTATTTTATCCTCATGTAAATGGCGATTTACCAACTTCTTTTCAGTAAACTACAACTAATTATAAATAATACAAAGAAATATAATTATGTGTATTTTTTATTATTAATATTTATTTATTGTGGGATATGGATTGTGGTTCAGAAACGTGGGGTACAGAACATAGGAGAGCGTAAAAGCTTTGCTTCCATAACAAGCGTACATATATAAATGTAAAGTAATGTGTGTAATGTAAGTATGTATGTATGAAGTAACGGTGTTTTCCAAGTAAAAATATTGTATTTGTTAACAAATGATATCTTTTCAGTGTGACTAAGTAGGTTTCATGTAGCGTTGAATGGTTCCCAATGCTTACAAAGTGCCTGGTGCCGGTGCCAAATTCAAAGAAGTCGCCGAGTTTAGGTGACCAGCCAAAGGAGCGGTGTGAATAGCACCACGAGTCTTCGCCACATAGACACCAGGACCAGTGCCGAGTGGCGCAGCAAGTGAAGCAGCAATTGGAGAAACAAGAGGTGCAGCAACGGCGGCACCAAGAGGTCCTTGACTGAGCGAAATGCCGGGAATGCCGCCCAACAAGCCGGGTGCGATACCGCCCCAAGCGGTAACAGCAGCTGGTCCGCCCAATACGGCTGGTCCTGCCCAACCACCAAGTCCCAAAAGAGGTCCAGCCAAGGTAGGGTTGATGTATGAGACTCCTGGTGATATTTGTGCACCCAACAAGGAAGAGTGAGCACCAGTGGCGAGAGCCAACATGACTACGGCAACGACGAACTGGAAAACAGTGACAAGAAACAAAAAACTCACATTAAGTTCTTTAATTTAATAATTATTGTATTGGTGATTATGTGTTGGAAATAACTGTTTCTAACGTAAATGGTTTTTGTTTGGACTAATAAAATTATTTTAATTCAAAATAAGATTTTGTTTTTCTGCTTCCACCAGTTTTCGGTTTAATATTTTTTAATTTTCAATTTTTTAAAGTTTTTTTTTTTTTTTTTTTTTTTTTTTTTTTTTTGAAATTTTACAAATTAATTTTTTTTATTATCACTTTGTCACTTCGCGTTAATCCACAAAATTTTGTTATCCATGAATTATTACCTTCATGTTTGGTGTTTAAACTGGAGAAGGATACGGAGAATTGTTTGGTTATTGCACACTCGAGAAGTGTTGACTTGATTCTGATTTCGACTACGAAATTACGCCAACTTTTATAGTAAAAAATTCGTTGAACTTCATGTGCAGCGGCAACGTCACTATGAAAGAATTGCATCAGCCATAAGTTCCATATGTTTTAAGGCAAACGAAACAAAAAACAAGTATACTATGAAAGCAACAACAATTCAATAACAAATGTTGTAGACGTAGCGGTAAACAGACGGGCTTTAATTGTAACAGAACTTGTCGTATTACATACTGAAAAGAAAAATGTAAAGAAAACACTGAAAAACAACAACATTGCTCATAACAACAATAGAATGCGTTGCCTTGCAGGCAGAACTGGAGTAATATTTGGCGTTGGAGTTTTTCCTACGCCTGTCGTCACCGCCCGGTGCTGATCTATCTATGCGCATACACACATCCGCCTATTAAGCTTTCACTGACTACCCAAACCGGAGCAAGGTCTTCACAACCGTGTCTACTCAAATATGTTTTCAGGATACGACAAATTTCATTAGAACACCCAGCGTAACCGAGGGGTATATGAGTGAAGAAGCTTTAAAAATCACTGTATACATCCTCGGATCCTTCCGAAATACAATTCTCGTTTATATAGCGACCAAACATAACATAAATGTTTCGGTGTTAGAATTTGTGGTGGAGGAGAGAGATTTCGACGCCGTGCACGAATATTCACGCCAGAAGAGAGTTTTTTCAAGATACATATTGCTAATTTGCTGACCAAAGGTACCTCGGACCAACATCTGGATCGATTTTAGAAAGGGTGCCACCGCCATAATGACAAACAAGGCCATGCTTAACGATTTTACATCATTAAGTACTATAAAGGTATTTTCTACAGGTAATATAAGGTAACACAACGAAGCCATCTTTACTGGGTTGGATCCGAAATATGCTTGCCTGTTGTACTAGATATCAACAGAAATAAATATATCCAACTGCTTAGATAGATCGAAAATCCCTCTCCGAAATCGGCCATGAGGTAATGGACAAATAAGATTTGTCGTCGTAAAACTGTAATCAAACGAATTCGTTTTCTGTACGACTTCTAAAAATTTTCTCAGAGAGTACTCACCAATAAGCAAACCCCTGTCATAGAAAGAGATGCATTTTCGGTATAAAGAAAGCGTATAAGGATTAATCAAATGGAAGGATGAAAAAATATAAAGATGGACAAGTGAAGCCATCTGGAAGGTGAGGCAAGAAGTAAACAGTAGAAGAAAAAAGGCTGATATACGTGATTTTGAAAAATTTTAAAAGCTGACAGGCAGACGAAATTCTCTAAAGTTCTATGAAAATATGCAGAGATCTACTGCAGCCTCAAGACTGGGCCATACTTAATCAGAACGATAAGCCGGAAATCAATATATAGATCATACTTATAAATTCATCTCCAGTAGCGAAAAAATTATAACCAAAAATGGTATTCAAATCTGGCACATGTCGTGCTTTAGGAGGAGACTAGATTTTAATGTTCATGTGTCTGCTTTTTACATTATTTATAGTTCATACATACGTGTATCTATGTAAAATTGCATGTATTATATATCAAGTAAATGGAACCATAAATATGATTATTTTCTCAAAAAATTCGCAACGCCGAGTCATCGAATAAAAATCCGGAATTTTTCGAGCTTAAAGCTCTTCAAGTATTCACCTATATAATGAGGTATCCAAACATGCCAAAGATACCAATCCTATGTATCGAACTTCATGTCAACTGGTTGATTTATAAATTAGTCCGATTTCCTAGAACAGATCGGTCCCAGATCAACTTCTTAGAAGAAAAAGTGTTCTCAATTGTAATTCGGGCCCAACTCTATTACTGTACTAAATTTAATGCAAATCAAGCGATACTAATTTTTCGAATTGATCGGCCTGTACCCACTTTGTGGGAAAAAGTGTTCCACATATCAATTCGGGCAAAGAGTTGCCTTTGCACTGGGTTTCATGTAAATCGAAAGATTTATAAATAAATTCGATTCCTTCGAATAGTTCAATGCCGGCTTCTCTTACCGGGAAACACTTTATCATCGGATGCTCACATTACACACACAGAACACATCTCTTTCTATCTTTACGGTTAGCTTTTTTGGCTGTACTTCATGAAACATCAGTCATTCAGCTCAAATTCTTTCTTATATGCATATAGCATGTGGTGCACATGATCCTCGAACTACTCGCACTGTTGGTAAGATTTTAAGGAAACTTGAAGAGACTAGATCGGTTACAAACACCATAAGGTCTATGTACTAACGCTTTGTCCGTTCTACCTCACATATCGCTGTTAAAAGTATAGCCGAAGAACCGATGTTGTCTATTTCCCAACTTTCTCAAGAGCTGGAGCTTTCTTACGGCAAAACGACTTCCGCAAACTCATACCTGCTTCGATTGTTTGCAATTTTTCGAAGCACGAAGCACATTTCTCACTTGGGAGATACGCAAATGAGAAAAATTGATGTATTGGGAGTATCGAAGAATCCTTAAACATTTGAGAGGTCACACCAACAACAGCAATATCGTGCCACATGCCACACAGCAGGCAAAAATTCGAATAGGATAGCGGTGAAAGAACAGGAAACGGTGGAATATTACCTCTGCTACTGCCCAGCTGTCGGTGTGATCTCTTCTAGTTTTCTTGGAAATTAGATTTATGATTGCTTTGCAGAGCTTGCATCCGTAGATATCATTACTCTCCTGAACTTCATAAAGCACACCAAGAGGCTTGAGCACCTGGAAAGATGAGAGGAACCTCATTAACAGACCTAACATCGGTATCACAATGGGCAAACTGTTTAACTAACTAAGAAAAAAAGGTTAGATTAGAAATCAGCGACATAAAGTTAATAAAAAAATGCTTTAAATTCCATGCAACAAGAAAAGCTCGACTATGCTCGCTTGTGTAGTAATCCGGTGTCTTTGAGGAACATTAATTAGTCAATAATAAATATTTATAATCATCATCAACTGTGACATAATAGTAATTCTCAGAAACATAATCACTGATTCTCCTTTTAAATATTTTGGGCGTGTTAAAGCGATGCGGTGGCCGCAATAGTCGATTGGTTAGGGTGTGGGTCTTGATTCGAGCAACGTACAAAATTATAGAAAATTTATTTAAATAAAAAATTAAACCTCGACAGGGAATGTCAACCCCTCCCAGTGTATTTATGACATGGAATAAAGCTCCTCATAAAAAAACCATCGACCGTTCGAAGGTGGTTCAGTTTAAACTGTAGGTTCCACCATTTATTGGAAAAATCACAAGATGCCAAATCACAAATTGGAGGAGGAGCTCGGTCGAAAATTGCTTCGGTGGTCATCTTTCATATAAAAGTCTTATGTTCGCAACCAACTGAATGACTTGAAACTTCATCACATTGTTTCTATGATACCTGGAAAGGTTTAGAAGAAACAAATTTCCGAAGGTTGAGCGGGAGTGACCTATTCGAAAACAACTCTTATGTCGTCGCGCAAGGGGTGTTCTCCAAAAGTTACCAATCGAATGACTTGAAATTTCATCAGATTGTTCTATGATATTTTCATGGACAAAAATTTTCTGGAAAGAGACCAGGCACTGACCTATTTGATAAAAGTTTATTTATTGTTCGATATACTTGAAATTCGGTGCACAGGTGGCTTTTTGTTTAGATTAACAGAAAGGTTCTCTCTACGGGAAGTGAACCAGGGATTATTTAAAAAAAACTTTTTTATGCATCGAGTTACTTGTAATCCGGTACATAGATGTCTTTTTGCTTATATTAACAGGGACTGACCGATTAAAAAAATCTTATTTCTGGTTCGGCTGACTTGGTATTCGCTGAATATTCAAGTTCCTGCTTGTTTGAGCAGGAAAACTGATCGTCTCTCCGGGAAATAGATCGGGTACTGGCCTATGCAAAGAGTCGAACTATTCCTCTCGCCGGGACCAGAGTAAATGGTTTAATCAAAAACCACTAATACTAAGTAAATAACGTTATGATAAATAGATATATGACCATGATTACTTTTCCATAAATTCGATGAGTACATGCGACAGCGAGTCGTTGCAGGCTACAACTAGTTATATATATAAAAGGCGTTGAAGAAATCCTGAAGATGAAAGATTCCTAAACCAATTTTTATTTTGGTTACCGTATACTTAATTTAAAAATATTATATATGTATTGACTTTATCAAGACCTTTGCAAAAATATTTATTCGTTTGCTATAAATTTTACAAAATATCTTTTAAACAATCGCTTAATAAACTAAATGACTTTTTTTGTTAGCTCGAGAGGAATTGGGAAGAGGAAAAGTGTGACTTGGTTTATTATTAGGCTTTACAGTTGATGTATGTATGTATGTATGTATGTATGTATGTAAAAACATAAAAGTTATAGAAATCTAATTAAGTAAAAGGAAGTAGGATAAATGAGTAAGTAGAGAGGACACTTAGAATTATTAAAAAAAAAAAAAGCTGGAATGAAAATGTTATTGCTATTGTTGTTGATCTTGAAGGAATTTTCACATTTTGATGATAAGCTGAGTAAATAACTAGAAATATATCTATGTAACTATATATGTAGACAATGTATTTAGATATTCATGTATATCATTTATTATATGTAATAATCATAGTTATGCTATTGACATATTGACATATTCGGGTGTGGTTTGTGTTTGCGAAATATCGGGTACGGAAAACGATTCAGCGGACAAAATCGGGCCTTCCTTAAAGGTAGTATATTATATATAGTATTTAAGTATATGTATGTATATAAGACAGTGCGGTGGCATCTTTCATTTAATCGGCAACAATGTCGTCAAATTCCAATAAATGTTTAAAAAGTTCTCTTTTTTTTGGGTTTTTTTTTATACTATGTGATTGAGCAATTCGTGCGTAATGCGTGTTAATGGTTGATGGTTGATGATTGATAGTTGATTGTTTAGGTATTTGATCTTTTCAACTTATTCACCAGGTGCCTGGTGCTGGTGCCAAATTCAATGAAGTCGCCGAGTTTATATGACCAGGCAAGGGAGCAGTATGCACAGCACCACGAGTCTTCGCTACATAAACACCAGCGCCATGACCATGACCCAAGGCGAGAGGAGCAGCCAATGGAGCAGCAATAGCAGCGCCATGAGGTCCTTGACTGAGTGAGATGCCGGGAATACCACCCCACAAACCGTGTCCGCTGCCACCCCAAGCGGTAACAGCAGCTGGACCGGCCCAACCGCCATGTCCCAACAGTGGACCGGGCAAGCCAGCGGTGATGTATGACACGGCAGGTGCAATTTGTGCAGTTAAAAGGGAGGAGTGCGCACCAACGGCAAGAGCCAACATGACTACGACAATGGCGAACTGAAAAGAAGAGAGAAGGGAAATAAAGATGTTAGCTTTTGAGGTTGGTTGTAGAGCTATAATATATTCAAAATATATAATAGATTTTTAGAATTTTTAACTACGGCTCAAAATTAATATTAAACTTAGCGATATTAATGCCAAAATTAATATTTGTATTTAGTATATTTTTTAATAATTTTCAACTAAATTAATTTTTGTTGTAATAATTTTTTTTAACAATATTTTCTTGATTTATTATTATTTTTTTTTTTAATTTTTTTTTATCAAATTTTAATTTTCTAATAATTTTTTATAAAATTTATTTCATGTTGTTTTCTTTCAGTTATTGGTTTTTGAATTTAAAATTTTGCTCTAACTTGAAGAACTGAATATTTTATCATATTTTGATGTAAGAAAAAGATGTATATATATTTGTATGCCCGAATTACCTTCATGATTGGTATTGAAAGCGGAGAAGGATATGAGATTTAGAGAAAAGGATTTCTTGGTTATTGCACACTCAAGAAGTGTTGACTTGATTCTGATTTCGACTACAAAATTCTGCCAACTTTTATACTAAAAACTTCGTTGCACTTCATGAGCCACCACAACGGTGCTATGAAATAATTGCAGCGGCAATGAGTGCATTGCAGACATACATATGTATGCATATACAAAGTATTTGATATAAAAAAACGGCAATAATAACAGTAAGCACTTAAGAGCAGGCAAGAGCGACAGGAGCACAAATGCCGGGCGTCGGCTAAATTTCAAATTGTAACGAAACTTGTCTTATAATATTACAAACATACGCAAAAAATACTTCACTGAAACATTGTTACAGAACAGCAAAGCAAACAAACGGTAATGGCAGTAGTATGAGCGTTCACAGAACTGGAGTAATATTCGGTGCTAACGTATTTGTGTACGTATGGTTGTATGTACGCCCGTCAGCAACCATCACACAGCGTTTACCACCTGTCCACACAACGATACATATACATCCAACCGAAAATAACCTTTCACTGCCAAACGCCACCGCAACCGCGCCGTCATCACAATGAAATTTCCGTTCACAACCCACTTAACACAACTAAACTCAAACTCAAACTCAAACTCAACTCAAACTCTACTCAAATCGACTCTGAACTGCGCTGCTGCTGTGCGCTTCACATGCACATGCATACAATCAATTTGAAAAAATCTCAATGTTCATACGTAAACATAACAATTTATACGGTTGTTGTTGGTATGAATCGCATATATTCGTAACAAATATTTTAAAATGCTTGTTAATCCAATGAACGCCAAACGTTTAGTTAGAATAACAAACTGCCGGATATTCAAATGCTCCACTGGAGCTGGCTAGCTGTTTGACCAATAATACAAAAAAAACACTCAACTGCCTCCTCCAACCTCTTTCGTTGCTCAAACTGTAAATGTATGTCTAATAATATTTTTTTACCATAAAATCAAGAGTAAAGAATTTTCCAAGTTTCAAAAAAGAAAGAAAAACAGTTTTATGTTACAAAAAAAAAAAAAAAACAACAAAAAAAATTTAAAAAAATTTTTCTTAAATTAACAAAAAATTTAAAGTATAACAAAATAATATTTCTAAAAACAGGTATGCAAAAGCACACCCAATTTTCGGTTTCATTTGACGCTATATTGATATGTAAATATGATAAGAGCGCACATTGACTCATGCAATTATCCATTACTTTGTTGGGAAATGAACTGAAAAGTGAATCAGCTCAATTCAATGCTCACTCATTGATCTGATGTAGAAATACGCATTACCTATGTACATACAAATATAGTTTTAGAAGCTATCACTGTTGCCCACGGTTCGAACCTCGCTGTCATACACTATTATATTATTATTATTTTTAGTGTTAAAATAGGCATTCCACATGCCTAAATAAACTGCTATACAACTGGTATAAGGCTGATGTATGGCCGAATAATGTTCGTGTTGAAATATCAGCTGCTTGCATGGAAAATCAATGGAAGATGAACTAGTTAGTGCAAACTTGCAAACCAGTTGAATGTCAGACATGTTGTGAATGCACATACATACATACATAGGTATTTGTATAAGCATTTGTACCACGCTATTTGTTGTAGCAGCTTATTGTTTTTATTTCATATTTTTATGCCTTTTTCATGACTCTTTAAAATCTCAATTAGCTTTGGCATTAAACAAAAAATCAAAAGGAAAAACACCAAAAAAAAACATGTGCAAAACTATATAAAAATAAATATATAAAAAATTCCAAAAAAAAAAGTTTGACTGGTCGCGTGCTTACACTGTAACTTTGCAAATTGTAAAATTGTATAAATTGCAATATTTATCATTTAAAATGCAACGATTGAAAGCTGCTCAAAATTCACGTTTCGCAAATTAACAAAAATAATCCTTGAATGCTACAACCGAATTGATTAATCAAAAAAAATATAAAAAAAATATAAAAAAATATAAAAAAAAAAATTAATAAAGTATTTAAAATTACTATTAAGTTTGTTTATTTAACGGTATTTGTTGAAAACTACTGAAATAACCTAAAAAGTTTTTAATTGTTTAATTGTTTTTCTTTTGTTTCTTATCACCTTACTTTTCTTGTTTGTCTTGTTCAAGTAAAAAGTTCGTTCGGTTTTTCTGAGAGAAGGCGTTATTGTCCATAGTACTAGTGTTATGTATCGCATCATGTCATACTATACGACGCTGAAAACGTGTTTATTCGCGCTAAAAGTTTGTCTTTGACAGTTTTTCGATTGATTGACTCAGTACGTTGTGAGCGCCCGTCAAAGTTGGACACCAGCAAAGAGAAAATTCGCTATATTTTACAATTTTTCTTCGATCAAGGCGAAAAGCAGCCAAAGCGGCTGAAAAAATTAATTTAATTTATGGGCCCGACACTGTAAACGAACGTGTAGCCCAAAAGTGGTTTGCTAGGCTCCGTTCCGTTAATTTCGATGTTAAAGATGCACCAGATTTTGCAGTGTCTTTGGTGGGACTGACAAGGAATCATCTACTACGAGCTGCTCCCCTATGGCTAAATGCTCAATTTTGGCCCTGTACTGCCAACAAACGGACCGCTTGAAGGCAGCACTCATCCAGTAGAGGCCACCTTTGATCAACAGAGGCCGAATTGTGTTCCATCCGGGCAACGCCAGGCCGCACACGTTTTTGGTGATGCGCCAGAAGCTTCAGAAACTCGGATGATAGGTCTTAATGCACCCGACTTATAGTCCGGACCTGGCACCAAGTGATTACCATCTTTTCCTGTTCATGGCGAACGCGCTTAATGGTGAGAAGTTGGCCTCATGAGAGACCTGTGAAAATTGGCTCCCTGAGTTTTCTGCAAACAGAGACGCAGCCTTCTACGAGAGGGGTATAATGAAGTTGACATCTTGTTGGCAACAAGTTTGCGAACAAAACGGCGCATGTTTGACTTAGATCCGTACACAAGTTATCATATTTTGAATAATCAATAAAAAACCGAACAAACTTTTTACTTCACCTAATATTATATTATAGTAACAAAAAAGTTAAAAATAATAACCAATAAAATATGAGTATAAAAAATTTTAGAATAGCTAGATCGCTAGTCCACTTCCCGTTGTTCGGAACGGGCAGTTTTTTTTTTACAAACCTCTCCAGGAACCGAAGAAACAAACTGAGAACTTTTTTCAATACAAATTGCCGGAAAAACACCTGAGGTCTTTGCGCATCCGCAACGTACGTTGTACCACTAAACTATTATAGAACAGTGTGTATTTTAAACATACCAAACAGTTACTTGCATAAAGCAAAAGGAAACTTGCTTTTCTTGTAGGTGTATTAATGCCTGAGATATAATCTCCACAAGCTCGGTTTGGTAGAATCGGCAGAGTATAGATGATTTTGTGATTGTCTCGCCTTCATCTAAAGATGAAACAATACCATGTGGATATCTACACTTTTACTTTGAAGTATATCGAAAGAAAGTATCGATACCTACAAAATATCGAACGCAATTAATCTTAGCCGATTTAAGGGAAACTTTACTAATACGGACTTTGAAAATCATGAGTTAACAGAAAAGTAAAGCAAAGACGAAATAAGTTGTTTTGTAAGAAGTCTACATATAGAGCAAAACTTTGCTGGTTTTCATTTAATTTATTAAATTCAATGGAAGATCCACATTTATTTAGATCGGGGAAAATATATATTTTATTTCAATAAAAATTAATAATTATACTGCTCTACAGTTCTGATATTGGCGAATTTGAGCGTTGAGTTACACAACACTAGCAAAAAGTATTAAATTAATTCTTTCTTCCTGAAGTATTCTAAAGCTGCTATGATGAATATAAAAGGTCAGCATATGTAGAAAAGGTAAATAAAATGTTGTTCATTAAAGATAAATTCCAATAATTATAATGTTGAAGTTTCGAATATGCATATTAAAATTTTTAAATTTTTTTCTCAGCAAATTAATCGGCGCTCTAATCTTAAAACTTCTCCCTTCTTGTATATTTTCACAATAAATATGGCCCAACCCTGATTTGATGTTTTTTTTCAATTTAATTAAAGCCTAAGTTTTCTATGTTTTGATTTTTTAAGTTTTTCTACACTAAAAAATTACATTTGATATTCAACGTTTCTTTATTCCCAGCCTACCTCTAACGGTTTTTTGTACCATATTTAATAATATTAAAAATTAAAAACTAAATGTAAGAAATAGTAGAAATAAAATCCTTCTTCAACAGAGTTTGGTACTTACTCAGTACTCGGCACAAAAGTATCGAGTAGAAATGTATTTGGTATTGAAAGAAAATTATCGATTATGTACTTGTATTTAGTAGTATCGTTCTATCCATACACTCAGCACCTTGTACGTCATGTCTCTTACGATGCTCCCAGTTCCAGCCTTATGCTGCAACCAAACATCTTCCATACCTACCGTCCATAAGAGCCGACTGGAGGAGCGACATGCATACGCGAGTTATCGACGCTGCTAAGAGCAGCGAAATGTTGCCAGCTGTCAGTGTTTTTGTACACTTTTAAGAAAATTTATAATTTTCGTCTACGAATTTCATAATTTATACGTTTGAATATTAACGCCAACCAAATATATATAAGCTATATCGTATTATAATAAATAATTAATTACGAATTAAGTTTTCATTTCTTTTATTTATCTTAGTTAATTTAATATTAGTTTAAAAAGTCAATACTGACAACCTTGTATAATAAGAGGAAATGAGCTGAGCTGGTTTTACGGAAGAATTCAAATCGCCGCTGGTTTCTGTGAGACAACCGTCAGTAACGGCATCGGCAAGCGTTGATAACCTTGTGTTCTCATAAGATAGGTATCTATGGATGGAAGATATGTAAAATGGGTAGTTGCAACATTAAGAAATTAAAACAGTTCGAGCATAGTTGGGAAAGGCAGGTGAGCACCGTGCGCCTACTCTATGACTTAGGTGCAACAGCTTGCGCTTAAGTCTCCAACCAACCGATCAGCCAAGATTTTTTTTAATACAAAGTGAGACCTCCACAAATTAGTAATA